GTTATCACAATTAAATTTCACCAACATTTGATTCAATACGAGACCAATGCGGGAATATTCAATTAATAAAATGTATTTGAACATTTTTTCTGATTGTCTGCCTTATCAATTCGGATGCATTCATTGCAATGAATGTCATTTCCTCTATCCTCATAAAAATCGTATATCTTTCATACTGTTCAACATTTTTCATTGAATTCTCAATGAATAAACACTGGCCATAAGTAAATTATCGAAGAGAAAACCAAAACTCAAAGTGGAATGACATGCCAACGTGAGCTGAGTAGGCTGTGCACTCATAGATGGGATTTTTGTTTATGTCATATCAATAACTGTCAAACCCGATTATTTATTGTTGAATTGGTGCAGAGAAACTCTTTCAAGATGCATATTTATTCTGAAGAAGAGAGATTTGATCTTTATGAGTGCTATTTATTAAAAAACAGAAATACCTTGCTGGCTTTGAGAGAATATCGTGACCATTTTCCACAAAGTGTCGTACCAAACAAAAAAATATTTCAGAGAATAGAGAACGATATCCGAACAAAAGGTATTCTCAAACCGAATAAGAGAACTAGAGGAAATGTAGTTTTGACCGAAGATCGTAGTGTATAAGTCCGAAACGGGTGATCTCAGACCCATGTTATTATAGATCATTGAACTCGTCTTTCTGAGTTCTATGCAAATATGGAATAAAATATAGGGTGTTCCATTCGAAAATCTCGAGATAATTATTGGTTTTCAAAATACGTCATCACTTTTGGCAAATTCAAAATTCCTAAATTTTCACCACAGAACATGATAATATACAGACTTTTTTAATTTATAGCAAAAGTTGCGAATCGAAAACTTCATTCACAACGTTTCTATAGGGCTTTGAAATTAGACAATTTATTGAAGAAGATCGTGTATAAATCCGAAACAGGTGATCTCAGACCCATGTTATTATATATCATTGAACTCGTCTTCTGAAGGACTATCTAAAAATATGATAAAATATAGGGTGTTCCATTTGAAAAAACGTATTTGTGATATGTCACAGACATATGGATCATCCTGTATAAATGACAGTATCTAAAAATTAAATTTCATGAGAAGTTATACAATTTTTATCCTGAACTTTTTTCTGTATATATAATAGTTCACCAGATAAGGGGGTGGCCCAAGTTATGTGGGATACCCTGTACGTCCCTTTTTTGTCCCGCGGTACAAGGACATGATTGGGGCATCCAGGGGATGTCGCGCAGTTGTTGTCCAGTGAGCATCCCGCTTGGTACATCCCTAGGTTATCCTATTCGTGTCCCTGGAATATCTGATATCCATTCACTTCAGAGACATTGAATTTCATCGAAGTATTAAGTTGCATTTTTGTGAAAATGTTTGTTTTTCTTTCGGAAAATAATCGGAATGAAAATAAAGAATAAAGTTTCAGAACTTCTTAAGAAATTACCATTTTCCGCAAATCCTAACAAAGTTGTATTTATTCATGTTCCTGTAGTTAAGTCCTGTTCATAAATCTGTTTGGTACATACATCTTCAGAAGGCATATAGCCAATGGAGTAAGGTGCGTGCCTGATGAGCCAAAGGTCCTGGGTTCAGTCCGTACTCGACCTACATTTTTTCTTTTGTCGAAGGGATGTCCCTGGGATATCCCTGGGACGTCCTAGGAATATCCTTTCTTCGTACTTGGTACATCCCAGGGACGTATCAGAAGGACATCCCTTTGATGCCTCTTTTTGTGGAGAGCGAATGTTCCTGGGACGTCCCTAGTATGTACCATGTCCCGACACAGGATATCCCAGGGACGTCCTCGTAGAAAATGGAGGACGTCCCTGGGACTCGTGTTGTTAGGGTATATTCTCCTTCTCCAGAATCTTCATTCTTTCTAACTCCTGTTACGTGTGACGAGGTACGGGAAATCATTAATTCATTGAAAAATTCAGCTTGTCCTGATATCAATGGAATAAATAGTAAAATCATAAAAGAAACTCAGGATATAATTCTTTCCCCATTAACAATGTTAATTAATTTAGTTTTCTCGACAGGTAAATTTCCAGATATTTTCAAATATGCAAAAGTAATACCTCTTCTCAAAAAAGGAGACGAAGAGTTAGTCGATAATTATAGGCCCATATCTATAATAAGTATTTTTTCAAAAATTATAGAAAAGCTAATAAAGAATAGACTCATCAAATATTTTGAAATCAACAATTTCTTTTGTAGATATCAGTTTGGTTTTCGCGAGAATTGCTCAACCACCGATGCTGCTATGAGTGTTGTCGGAAGCATAGTTGAGGGTCTTGAGAATGGAAAAGTTGTAGGAGTTACACTATTGGACCTATCTAAGGCTTTTGACTGTGTTTCCCACAACATATTACTCGAAAAACTTTCATATTATGGTGTTAGAGGAATAACTTTAGAACTAATAAAAACATACTTGAATAATCGTTTCCAGGCAGTTTTTTATAACAATGAATTTTCTGAGCAGAAACCAATTAACTTGGGTGTGCCTCAGGGATCGGTATTGGGTCCGCTGTTGTTTGTGATTTATATTAATGATCTCTACAACTATATGAAACCATGTCACAGTGTATTATTTGCTGACGATACATCCCTCATCTACTCCTCAAAAAATCTTTCATCTCTTGCTGATCAATCTGTCGAAATACAAGGAAAAGCCAACTATTGGCTTAGTGTTAATAAACTTATGATGAATAACGATAAATCACAAAACATGGTGATATCTACGGCTCAGCCATTACCTGAGTTCCAAACTGTTAAGTTGTTGGGTTTCACCTTGGATAATAGGTTAAATTGGTCCAGCCACATTTTAGGTTTGAAAAGTAAATTATCGAGTGCTCTATTTTTACTTCGACAACTTAAACCTATAACTAATCTCACTACATTGAAAATAGTTTTTTGCTCACTAATTCAATCTCATATTTCTTATGGGATTCTACTATGGGGAAATTCTAGTGATGCCCAATGTATTTTCATATTACAAAAAAAGGCTCTGAGAATTCTTGTTGGAATTGGTTACAGAGATTCTTGTCGTGATTCATTCATAAATCACAAAATAATGTCAGTACCTTCGATGTATATTTATACGAGTATAGTAGAGATTCACAAAAAAGCTCCCCTGCTTCCTAAGCAATCCAGTTTGCATAATCACAATACACGCAACAGTGATCTTATTAGACCTCAACGTTACAAACTCAGCAAATCACAAAAAAATTCTCATGATCTCAGATTATATAATGCTCTTCCTGCCAGTATTAAAACTATGAATATGTTTTTCTTCAAGAGAGTTATGAAAGATTATTTTGAAAAAAATTGCTTTTACTCGATTGCAGAATATCTGGCTCACGTTAGTGGCCACAATTTTGATACAAGGAACACACTTGCCGAACATCCACTCTTGAGGGAAACGTAAATGTGTATTTTGTTTTTGATTGTATATTATTCGTCTCTGATTGTATATTTTTTGTCTTTTATTGTAAATTATCATTTTTTACATTCTTTTCACCAAAATGGAATCATTTAGGACTTGCTACAAATGTATGAATGTACATCAAGTAGTCAATAAAACTCTACTCTACTCTACTCTACTCTATTAGAACAAAACCATATAGTTGATGATAATTCCTAAATTCTACACGTGGAAAATGAAGAAATGAAACTCAATCATTTTGAATCATATAGGAATATAATAACTCAAGAATTCTGACAACCAACTATAGACCTCAATAGTTCACCACTCTTGAATTTGTTTCCTTAGTTGGTAATGATATGTATTTGCTATCAACGTTCCCAAGTTAATGCGCGGTATACCGTATTTTAATGTAGATAGTGTGCCTAATTTCCGAAAATGAAGGTCAATCGAACTTGTCCCACAGGTAACTAATCCTTCAGGATGGGATAGTAGGATATTTAACAGTTGAGCAAGCGAAGGTCAGCTTAGTTCATTGTACCAGTATATCACCTGAGGAAGCTACTGTGTTAGCGAAACATGTTTTGTGTTTACGAATTTTGTGAAAATCTTATCGTTTGTGAAGTTTTTACTAGAGTTTGATAAGAGTTCGGACACAGCTGAACTTTTGTCCTTTTCTATTTTCTATAATACAATGGTTTAAGTGAATAAAAGAATAAGACATATATTCTGCTCTTTGTCTTTTCAATTTCCCTAGTAGCGCCTGATTGTCAGATACGATTTTAGAGGTTATATTTTCTGTCAAATCAATCATAGCCGTAGATGGACAATGGATATAAGGTACAAACACCCACCTCAATTTATAGTGATACACTTCTAGCAAAACAACTGTTATATAAATTTAAAAAATGCATGTGACAACATTTTAATATTAGAAAATATACACATATGGATAAACTTATAGCTATAATTCCTTATTGTAAGGGAAACTGTACTCCAGTGATAAGTATAAAACTTGAAGTTATTGATATTAAATTAAAGGTAGGTATTCTCAATATACAGGAAGTAACATGAGTACGTTCAAGTGAAGTATTCCTGAGACAATTTTAAGAAATAAAATCTATATAAGCTTGTGTCCGGAAATGCTTCGTTTCGGAGATACATCAGGGTGTTGAAATACAGAGAACAAATCATTTTTCGGTGAATATTTCATGGGAAAAAAGTAGTTTATTTAGACGAGACCTACCAAATACTTGATTTTGTAAAGTTCTCAGCAACTCCACTTAGCGCTCTAGGAGCTAAGTAACATAAATCGACGTAGAAAATATCTCCAAAACGATGACCTCAAGCGTAATGAAGGCCCTTATAATAATTCCCTTGGTACATAAATAACTACAACTGTAACAAGATGGCGGCAAGTGGTGGTTCGTCGGAAGAACCAGACTCCGAGAGAAATTGTAATTACTGTAATAGAGGTGTGAAAGGAAATACAAGGTGCATCAAATGTGACAAGAAATATCATCCTGCATGTGCTGTACGTGTTAATGGGTTGAAAATTGTGGGTGCTGATATGTTAACCTGCCCGTCCTGTTCTGATGATCAAATCGAAGATGACTTACAAGTCGCAAAACAACTAGTGACTCTCAAGGAAAATAATAAGCTTTTAACTCATCTGCTATTACAAATGCAGGAGAATAAGGATTTAATGCAAGATAAAATCTGGGCCCTAGAAGATAGAATCCATCAATACGAAGATATCATTACTAAATCAAATGAAAAAGTAAGTCATCGTACAGAAAAAACGTTCGCTGATATCACCAAAACCAGTAACTGTAAAAACGATCAAGGTCATGCCTGTTGTCAAGCTCATGGAAATCGAAATAGTGAGAAGCTAGGTCTAGTAGGCACACAAAAGCTAGTATCCTCAGAGACTGGTAGTGTGCAGGTTAGGCCCATAACACCAAGAAAAGCTGAAGAACAAAAAGAAGAAGAAGCAATCAGGGTCAAATCCACTAAGGTTAAGAATTCCCATGACAACAAAAATGACAAAATAAATAGAGACAGAACTCGAACTCAAAATCATGTTCAAACTCAACAATACATTAAACCAAGTGATATAAATTCTGCAATCAAATCAGCAAACGAAGCAGCCATAATGAGAGAAATTCTAGAACTGGGAAATAACCAACCTCCCTCTGATGAAAGTACAAAGGATGGAGGAAACTGGGAAACCAGAAGAACAAAGAAACGTCGAAGATTCATAATAGGAGGAAATGAGGAAAATACTGGAATTGAGGCAGTTCCTAAATATTCTACCCTACATGTGACAAGGCTGAAGCCAGACACAAAGCCAGAAGACCTGGAAAAATTATTGAAGGAGCGATTCCCTGAGGTTCGCTGTGAACAGCATGCATCAAAACGACCTGATCTATATGCAACTGTTAAAGTAACAATCAGGAAAGAACACTACAGAGAGGCGTGGAAAAAGGAAGTCTGGCCAATTGGTGCCCTGGTTTCAAATTTTTTCTTCCCAAGGAGGATGCCACAAGTAAATGCATAAGTGGATCCTCGAATGTTCAAATGTGTACAAGTGACATAAACAATGAGGAAATTACTTCAAATATGAACAATTGTTCCAACAATTATGACCTTTTACTCTCCAACATCAGAGGACTAAATCAGCACAAAATTGATGAACTCATCCTGAGCTACTCAAACTTGAAATTCTTATGTTTCACAGAAACTTGGTCAACAATGGATAATATCTCAAATTATTGCATTCCTGGTTATAAACTTATAAACTTCTTTGGCCGATCCCAATTCATTAGAGGAGGGGTGGCTATCTATGCTCAACAAGATCAGGACACTAAACCAATTTTGTTATCCGCATACTGTGTAGAGAAGGACATCGAAATATGTGGATTGAAATGGCATTTTAATTCGCTTCAAATAATTATCTTGGTATGTTACAGATCTCCAAGTAGTAATTTCAATACTTTTTTTGATAATTTGAATCAAATTCTTGAAAATATGTTCAAACACTGCCTTTATATCTTTCTAACTGGAGACTTCAATGTCAATTCAATGACAGCCTATCAGGCTCTTCATTTTGATCAGCTACTGCAGTCATATGGATTATCTCCAAAAAACTTTATGCCAACTCGTGGTAGTTCTATTTTAGATCAGATCTACTCTAACTTTGAGAACTGTCATGGTGTGGTGGATATCAATACAGAATCGGACCACGACACACTTCTGCTAACTCTGAATATTGAAAGGAAGGCAAAATGTAGCAACAATATTATAACTAAGAGGATCACTAGCGACAGTAGAATTAACAGTTTCATATCTCACCTAATCAAGGAAACATGGCATGATATTTACTCAGCAGAAGATACTGAATCTAAATTCAATATATTCCATGATACATTGCTGCACTATTTTGATGCAAGCTGTCCAGTTAAAAAGGAGAAAGCTAGAGTAAAATCTAACAACCAATGGGTAACTAGTGAGGTAAAAGAATCATCTGATAACTTAAAAAACTTATATGTGCTCAAAAAATCTAGCTCTCTCTTTGAAAGTCATTACAACACAGCTCAAAGAGAACATAGAAACCTTATTAAAAATACTAAAAGTCAATACTATTTCAATAGAATAAATAACTCCACAAACAAAAATAAAACTTCATGGCAAGTTATTAATGAATTAAGAGGTAAAGATAACTCCCGCACACATATAAAAATAAAAGATGGTAATGAAATTCTCGAGGATCCATCAATAATAGCTAACAAATTTAATGACTTCTTTATCAAAATCCCGAAAGACACTATATCAAAGATATATAACCCAGATATTACTATCCAATATCCTAATAATTTTCAAAACAAAAGCATGTTTATTACTCATGTAACTGATAATGATGTGCTGGAAATAATAAAAAACAAAATAAAAAATAAACCATCTTGTGGTTTTGATGGAATTTCTGGGATAGTTCTGAAACAAATTGGACCTTACATAACTGCCCCTTTGGCTCACATCATAAACTCGTCATTTGCAGAAGGAAAATTTCCATCTAGGCTAAAAATTTCCCAAATCACTCCAATTTTGAAGAAAGATAGCTCCGAAAATATTGAGAACTATAGGCCATTGTCTGTACCCTCTGCAATATCCAAAATATTAGAATATGCTATGATTCATCAGCTTACAAATTTCCTGAATAAATTCCAAATAATCAGCGAAAATCAACATGGTTTCCGTACACAGCATTCTACAATGACTGCAATTATATCTTTCTATGAAAAAATTCTAGATGGCTTAGAGCAGGGAGAGAGTCCAACTGGCATCTTTTGTGACTTTACTCGCGCTTTCGACTGTGTTGACCATGACATACTACTGGATATGTTATATAGGTGTGGTATTAGAGGCAATGCTTATGATTGGTTCAACTCCTATTTGAAAGATAGACCTCAAATGGTCAAGATTTCTGGATCTGGAACTTCTGCTTTTTCATCGACCAATATTAATGCACTAGGGGTTCCTCAAGGCTCTATTCTCGGTCCAGTCTTGTTCACCTTATATGTTAATGACTTACCACTAATTTTATCTGATACTTTTACGACACTATATGCTGACGATTCTACATTACTAATTAAAGATAGAGACTTCGCAAGCTTGCAAACTAAAATCGATAGTTCAGTTAATAGATTATCTGCCTGGTCTTTTGATAGATCCTTGTTGCTTAATGCTAGTAAAACTAACTACACAACCTTCCATTCTCATCAGAATACAAATATACCTCGATTAAATATCTGCTTAAATAAAAATACTATTAACACCATCGATGACGTTAAGTTTCTTGGAGTGTATTTTGATTCTTCTCTTTCATTCAAAACCCACTGTAGTAAACTATGTAAGATCTTGAACTCTAAATGTTACCAAATAAGAAACCTCAAAAGTGCAATGCACTTGAGTCATCTCCTAAAATTTTATTTTGCAGAAGTGCATTCCAGAATTTCCTATGGTATTATTGCATGGGGAAACACACCTGCAGCAACTAATGTATTCCTTGCTCAGAAGCGCATTCTAAGATGCCTAGTTGGTTGTCCAGCAACGCATTCATGTGTGAATATATTTAAAGAAAATAAAATTCTAACAGTCAGTGGCATATTCATCCTTGAGCTTATGACATATGTTCATCAAAATCAAAATTCATATCTAAAGAACTGTGACAAGCACTCGCACAATACTAGAAAGAAAGAGGACTACCATGTGCCATTCAAGCACCTGGAACTAACCAAAAGGTCACCAAACACTTTTGGTGTCCACATGTATAATTCTCTCCCACAAAATTTGAAAAATATTCGGCCTGGTCGCAAATTCAAATGTGCATTATCCAAACTCCTCATAGAACTTTGTCCTTACTCCATACAAGAGTTCGAAATAGCATTTAGTTAATCTATGGTGTAATCAATTTTATTTTATATTTTTAACTTTACATGTATTTTGTCTGTCTCTGCCTATATATTTCAAATCATTGTTACTGTAATAATTAGGAAAGTATTATTATTATTATTATTACTATTATTTGTTTGTTGTATATATAATTTTGTGTAGGTACTGCTATGTTGACTTATCCGATAACTCTTGTGAGTTCCGAAGGACCAATAAATTGATTGATTGATTGATTGATTGATTGATTATTCACTTTTCACTGTTAGATTTTGAATTTGGTCGACATCAAAAACGTCATTCAATAATATATCACGTTGTAGTTCACTTGTTTTTCTTAGTTTCGTTTTCAAATTTTCAATTTCATTATGTAATTTTGCTATAATTTTCTCTTTTTCCATGATTATTCTGTTATGTATTTTGTGTGATGATAATGATGAATTTCGTTCTTGAAATCGCCTGCTTTGTAAATTGATGGAGCAGCAGATCCTCTCAAACAGATTTTGAAATCTTCTGTTTAAAAATGGGCATAGAATAAAGTTTCATTTCAATCAGATGCTATAGTAAAAAGTGAATTTTAATGATTACCTCACAGATTTCGCTCGTCTTCAAATTGATTTTCCACCCAGGCCGTTTCATATCATCCTTCCATAAGCGAATGGTTGATATTTGTTTTGGAGAATTGAATAAATGATATCCATTTTTTTCAGAATTGGCACAATTTATTACACAGTCAGTGATTTCCATAGCTGCTTTTTTCTCGAAAGTATAATTATGAAAGTTTATAAAGTTTATCGTCAAATTCAAACAATTTTGAATAAAAAAGCGCGGGACGACTATGGTACTCTTGTCACAATGCAAGGTGTGTAACTTAATAAATCTAAACATTCAAAAACCCTAACCGTTGTCATTTCTGTGTCCGAACTCTTATCAAAGTAATACCATCCAGTGACTCTAGTTTTTACTACATAATTTCAGAGTGTGTTCACTCGGATGCGTTCACACCTCTTGCCATCTCGAAGCATCTCCGCAGCATCCTTGATGCATGGTCTCAGTCGGCACTTTTTATCTCCGCGACACATGTCAGAACGTCATCTCTCACTAATTTGCTTTGATATCGGATACGTTTCGCGTCGAAACCGTGACCGCAGCCTATCAAAAGTTGATGGAAAAAGTGATAGCCACCATGCCGAACAATTTCATAATGCCATATAATTCCACCGACTCTGCGGCAATTATGAGAAGTGGTGTTGACTTCTGGAACTACGCTTCGAGTGCAGTTTTGAAAGGGCCATGTTCAATTAGGAATACACATTGCACGAATATAATTGTACAGGGTGATTCACCATAAGTTTTTTCCGTTACATCAGAAAATACAGTGTGCTCGGAACAAACGATCTTCAGGATACTAGTTGATTTTCTGAAATGGGACACCCTGTATTTCATTTCATTTTTATATTCTTCCTGAAGAGCTGTTTCATCAATGCATCACACTTGGGGTCTAGCGGGAATAATTACGGAGGTATAGGATGTTTAAAATCGAAATATTTCAACTTTGTGTCCAAGCTATTCATTATTGGTCGAAACGAGTCATATGTCCCTATCACAACCTTTGATTTACTATCAATTGACATTTAATCGGAACACTACAGGGTGGTACAATGAATAGCTTCAATAGAAAATAATCCTTGAGTTGAAAAATCTCGCTTTTGAACACCCTATATCTCTGTAATCATTCACACTAGACTCCTAGTGTGATACATTGATGAGATCAGCTCTCCAGGAAGAATCTTGAAATGCAATGAAATACAGGGTGTTTCATTTGAAAAATTCAACTAGTACCCTATGTAACGGAAAAAACATTCATCGAAAATAATTTCGAATCATGCCTACAATTTTGCGATTGATTAAATAATAACTGAGCATGATTAGCGACATTTATGGTGAATCACCCTGTACCAATACAGCGGCTGGCCGACTGAATCCAGGGTGTTTTCTGAACCCAGATAGCACTGGATATTCATAGAATATTCTCTAAATATGCTAAAAAGGAGGAGTATATTCCGAATATTCATCGATTATTCCTAGAATATATACATGCCTCTGGAACATCTAAAAGGAATATTCCAAAGTGAATAGTCGGACATGTTCAGGGAATATTCGAGTATGAATCTTCCAGGAATATTCCCAACTGAATATTCTCTGTTGTATATTCATGAAATATACCCAACTGAATATTCTGTGCGGTATATTCATGGAATATTCTCAACTGAATATTCTGTGGTGTATATTCATGAAATATTCCATGAATATTCCTATGTTTCTCAACACATAAATACCATTTCTTATTTCAGAGATGTGAGTTTCGAACATCAATTAGATGTAAGGGGATTTTGAAACAAAAAGTGTTTATCATCCGATTTCGAACAATGCTCTCACAAGAACTTGATATGTATGATTATTCACTCGATTACTGGCCTAGTGGTTAAGGCGTTGCTCTGATAGTCTTGAGGTCACGAGTTCGATCCCTACTTGGGTCACTTTTTCTCATTTTAGAATATGTTTATTGGAATATTCCAGGAACATTCAACAAAGAATATTCTTCTGGTTATATTCTATGATTATCTGATGAATTCCCATTCGCATATTTAGAGAATATTCCACAGATATTCCGGAATATTCCAGATTATTTCTAGAATATTCCAATATTCCAAAAGGAATATGATAGGGAGATTCATGGAATATCTGGTGCTGTCTGGGAACATATGAATAGAATCCGTGGGGTGTTTTCTGGTATTATTTTATTGTGAACAGCCCTCTTGAATTCTTACTATATAAATTTTTTTCGAAAATCCTGGAATTCGGTAGATACATCGCATAAATTCTGATGCTGAAACAGAATTTAGGACGTATCAATATCAAACTAGGGTTGGCCAGTTGAGGGCGAAATCGATCACACACTGAACAAAAAATCAGAGTGAATATAATGAAAAAGTAAATTGTTATGTTGTGTCGAAACATCGAGACAATGGGCTTATATCACAAACAATTTTTATTCCATTATTCGATAGAACTCACCCAAACTAGCTCACCACAGCACACCGTTTATCGCTGTGAGCTCCCTACGTTTTATAAAAAATTATTGAAATCCCCGATTTTTCGGACCTCTGAAAACGAAAAGATGATGTGACGTCAAAACCCTAATACTGAAACAGGACTATTCCAGACAGAGATGAATGATACATGATTTCTGGCAGAGTGAATCAGCGCGAGATCACCGTTGAAAGAATTAATTTATCAGTTGCCTCAGTCTCCGTCCGGCGTTTGGTATTTTCTTTTAACTATGGCGAGATGAGGTTTCTACGTCATAAGACGGTCCGTTTTCAGATGGTACTATTATTTATGTCCAAAAATTTAACATTCCAGTAAATTTTTCGATCGAATTATGTCGTCATTCATTATTTATGTATTGAAGGATCATTATAAACATGGTTTGAGTTAAAAGTTCTACCAAGGTGTACACGCCCATTGTTTCTAATTTTGACTGCTCAGCTACGATGACCTTTTCTGCGCATTTGAATGATATCTTCATACACCCCATGATAAACAATCATGCACTTTACACTGAAACAGCAAAATGATCCGTGCTTGAAGCAAGCACAGTGAAGAAAGACATTGCTAAATACTGCTCAAACTTCACTTCGAATGGCTGTGGAACTGTGGAGTGTGGAAGTGATAGGGTTAGGGACGCGGGACGCTGCACGCAAAGAAGATGCGCAAGGTTGCCAAGCATCACGATATGAAATAACTAAGTATATGTACCTACTTTTATGATACTTTTATGGAAATAGACAGTAAGTACTCAATCGAAATTGTCCTAATAAGTTCTTGGAAATACTTCCGTTGGCAAAGAATACCGAAGCTTCTCGTTCCATAGACAAACGTGTTTTGAAAAAGAGTTGTTCGACATAATTCTAGATTGACGACAAAACGATGTGCTGACTTAGCCTGTCGATTACGTCTGACGACTAGTGTACCAAAATTATTCATGTAAATTCTGCAGTAATTACGGAAAATGATACAGAATGATGCAGTCGTTAATTAGAGGGAACCATCCTCCATTGATATTGATTTCATCAACTTCGAATCATTATCTTACAAAAAGATATTCAAAGTGTATTACATGAAATAGGATTATGTAATATAAAATAGACGAGGTGGCAACAGTGTATGGCGACAAATGTGTTTCGATGTTTTTCTGATATTAGAGGTGTTGATTTACAACTCTTCTTGTGTCATTTATACCAGTGACATCAGAAAATACACTGTTTTGATTAGCAATCTCATTACTATATAGGTGAATATCTTGAAGAGAAATTATTTGTGTGAATATGGGTTATTCATAAAATTGATAGTCAGATGAAAAATATGAAAGTTGATCACTTTCATGATATAAATTTTGAAAAATAACACCTGCTGATAATAATTTTTCAGAATATATCAACTTTGTGATTTATAAATAGTATAATTTGATGTTTACAGTTTGCATTCAATTAATGAGTATGAACAGTATGATTCCGAATTCAGATTTGCCATAATGTATCACGAATTACACCGTCGAACCCCACGATATCAAATTCCCCATAGGATAGTACAATTTTGGTGTTAAATAGAGTTAGTGTTAATTCTAATAGTCTGGAATTGAAAAACACACCAACAGTTTTCTTAGAGTGTACCCTCCATACCGCCTTCTCTTCCAGGGCTCCAATACCAGCCAGGCAAATCAAAAACGAACGAGGGAGAAATGTTGACAACATAAATATAGACATGGCAACAATTCTCGAATGGGGATCCAATACTTTGGTAGATTTCAATGCAAACAAAACACAAGCGTGCCTTTTCTCTGGAAGACCCGATCTCACTGTTCCCAACATAGGCTTATTGTCAAGAGTAACCATACTTTTGAAAACATCCATTTCGATGCTTGGTATTACCAGAGATTATAGTGTGTATAATCTCTGGTAATACTATCAGCAATAAATTTTCTTGGGAAAATCATGTGAGATCAATTGCTGAAAGTGCATCCCAAAAACTTGATTTCCAGTTTCGGGCCAGGAGCTATTTCCCTCCCAATCAGCTAGTTATGATCTACAAAGCACAGATCTGACCTATCCTGGAATACTGTTCCCATATCCGGAGTGCAGCACCCAAACATGCACTGAAACTGTTGGATTCTGTCCAAAAAAGGGCAATTCGTCTCGTGGGTGATGCCTCGCTCACAAACTCACTCACTTCTCTGGAACACCTCAGAAAAGTTGGCGATCTGGCTCTATTCTATAGATATATATATATCTATATATATATATAGATATATATATATATAGATAGATTGTTGGCAGTTCCCGCGAGATTAACTCGTCGAGTAGAGGCTTCGCCCTCCTCGTGATTACTTTGGAGACCTGATGCAGAACATCTCTTTCCAAAGACTCGTTCATCCAATGAACCGCGAGGCTCTGGAACACATTGCCAAGGGAGGTGTTCCCCGAGGCCTATAACCTCCAAAAATTCAAGAAGAAGACCAATTCCTACCTTATTTCCCTTGGTTCTCACGATATTCTCTGAACATTACAGGATATTCCTTCACGTGGGAACCAGAACATAAAAAAAATTCGAAAATTCCTTTTTTTTTGTATTGCAGAACTTCTATTAATATGAAGATGGTCTTTTCTGAGATCTAAACATGTCCCCGAGTTTACAACAATATTATCAAATATTCTGGATACGATTTTGAACATCAAAAACCATAATGTATAATTGAAATTCTCGCTGGCCGCGAACATTCCATCTTTTAGATACATTCTGTATATGTTTGATTTATCTGAAGGTAGAAATAAAATAATAATTATCTAATTATAATGTATTTACAGCTTATTAAAATGAAATTTACAGTAATTAATAAATAAAATTTCTAAGTACAACAATATGGTTGGAGCAACTATATTACATTCTTGAGACCACATAAATGATATTCCACTTTCCCTACTTCGACTCAGTGGTGTTCTGAATATAATCAGAAAATTGTGAAATATAATATCAAGAGACTTTTTCACAACCGGTAGCTCATTGATATTCATTTACATGGTCAGTTTATTTTGCACATAACCCAGAATTGAATTCTCACCGAGTCAATTTCATGTTGATTCAGATCATTACATATTTCCATACACAACTAATTAATATTATGTACAATTGCATGGCAGAAAAAGTTATACAATCGTAAGTCTTTTGAAGTACCTGATGGAATTCAATTGAAATTGTAATATCTTTTTAACGAAAAGTAATATCAAATGGCAATATTCCTTCCTTAGACAACCAAGCCAAGATGTAGAGTACGATCACTCTGACAGAATGAAACAGACGTAATAATGGACTGAATGAAAATAATTTCCAGAAACCGGAACGCCTGTGTGAATGAATTATAACTTGCATGGCTTGTTCTAAGTGCGGTGGAACGCTGACTGTATACATCAATGCTGCTGAAATGTTTCAGGTACAATAATTATGAAGTCGAATCCAATATTCCACAGTAACCATTAAAAGTACCTCGGAACCAAGGAGACAAACATCAATCAATTATATTCTTCAAAATATAATTTAGTATATTTATAGAGTTTATATCCATAACACTTTACTTGTACAATGGAAGATAACATTATTTGATTGTCAACCAGATCGCGATACTAAGAGGTGAGGTCAAAGTTCGTAGAATTGATACTGAAACTTCTTCTATTCGTGTCATTTGGTCTATTCCTACGATATATTCTTCTCTGAAAACGCAACGCTGATGAAGTCAAACCATAATTTGCGCTCTTCTTTTTGTTCACAGAGTATTTCCGAAACAACAGGCCATAGCATTCAGGGCTTTGACATAGACCTCACGCTCTAGCAATGCCAACATGGTTACATTGAAGATGTTCGCCCTCATTCAACATTCCTACTCAATGCAATTTAGTACGATCTTTTATTTGTTTTTATTCACGAGAGGCACTCCAAAACCACGATGTATACAGAAAACGTTCAGTTGGTGGAGTTTCTTCATCCCTTCTCGTCATCATCAATTCAATCTTGAACTTTATTCGATTGTGAGCACAACCGGAAGCGTTCTACCCCAACCCTTTCTCTCAAGACCCCAAACTGTGTCCGTGATTGGCTAAATGAAAGTACGGAGTGTAGCTACCGGAGCTGGCGGCTTGAAGTGGATACACCCCTCCATAGGGCACGTGGTGCGAGTACAGCAGCCCGTTGTGGGAGTGTGGGAACCCAGGGAAGCCTCCGGATCCCACACTTGGAGGGGGCACTGTGGGAGAGTTGACGTCCATCCCGGGGTTCTGCTTCTTCCATTTCGTCCTCCTGTTCTGGAACCAGATCTTGACTTGGGTTTCCGTGAGGCTGAGGCTGATGGCGAGGTTTAACCTCTCACAGACGCTGAGGTACCTGTAACAAGTCAATCTCTTGCAATTTTCGGATATGACGTCAGATCGAATGTCTCTTGCGTCGTGAATTCATAGAACAAATGTTATCACAGTGACCCTCTGACTTGGACAATCGTTCAGTAAGTACTTGATCATTACTCTTTGAGGAAGAAGATTATTTCATGAGCATGATCTATCACACAGTGAAAATGCAAGTCACCTCTACAAATGTTATGTATCTGTTTTTTCCAATGGATTGCCATTTTTACTATGCCAGTGGAATACCAGTGTTCTTTCCATACTTTTCATATACAAGGTGTTTTTGAAATAAGTGCACAAATTAAGCACGTCAATATGAAACCAGTCTAAGAAATATTCCCATGATGATAATTTTTTTTCTAATTCTTCTATTTAACTAGAAATCTCATACTAAAAATCGAACAAAATACGAGGAAAATAATAAGTACGCCACTTCAAAACAATTTAAATTATTGAACTCCGTGTGATTGTGCTTAGTGCATGGAAATTTGAACAGAGGTGACATCAGATTTGCTACAGTGTAGAACTTTGGGTGAAAAAACGGGTCTAACCTCAAATTTTATTTGGATCCCTGTTTTTTCTTTTCATATGTGCCATTCGATAGTACACATTAAGCTTTCTCAGTGTTTGAAATATTTGCACTTATTTCAATGCCACCCTCTGTATACATCAGTGTGGGGTACCCAGAGTGACTCACATGTTCCATGTCTGAATAATTGTTAGACAATACATGGATATCAATGAGTCACTGCAGATGAAACATAAGAATATCAATGTATTCCTCAGCTTTGCTGACCTTATTATACCGTTTTGCGCCAGGTATTAGACGAATGAGTCTAAATTCATAGAAAAAAATCTATAGAGTAATAAAATAAAATACACACAATAGTTGGCTTTCTACGCTTTCGTACAAGGATCTTATTGGAGCTCACGAGCCGAAAAAATCCACTCACAGTATAAGCAAAAGTGAAGCTCTTCATTATACAGAGACGGGTTCGTCTAGCGATCACCGGGGCCATCAGCACCATACCCTCAGCAGCTATACAGGGTGGCCCACGGTCGATGGTACCTTAGACGTATTCGGAAAACGGTACATTGGATTATCCTGAAAATTTGGTTACTCAAATGAGCGATTGTTATCTAACGATTCAAAATATTTTCAGCGAAGCAGCGTTGCCACTTTTACCAAAGAGTAGCATCATCTTTGTTATTTCAAATGGAACATCCTGTATTTTATTGCGTTTTTAGATTCTTCTCGGAGAGCTGATTTCATCAATGCATCACACTTGGGGTCTAACAGGAATTATTACAGAGATATAGAGTGTTCAAAATCGAGATTTTTCAACTTTAGGATTTTTTGTGTCGAAACTATTCATCATTGGTCAAAACGGCTCACATGTCCCTATATCAACTTTTGATCAACTATCTACCGACATTCAATAGGAAAAAAAACAGGATGGTCCAAGATTCAGAATTTTGATCATCCTGTATCTGTTCCATCCTCCTCGGCCTTAGATTTGGCGTCTAAGGCCAATATTTCCTCCATTTGCCTGGATAACCTTGTCAAATTCTGGAGATATCTCTCATTGGCGTCCACGTCGCGAGGGGGGGGCTTTGGGAAACGGCTACTTAGCTGCTTCGCAAAGGCTAACAATGAGAAAAGTCACCCAATCCTAAGGTGGAGTGGATCCCGTGCCGATGGGATGCGTGGTACATGGGAGATGTGCAGACAACGAGCCCTCCAGAGAACCAGGCGAAACTCTGGAGTAAACAGCCTTGCCTCAGTAAACGGCTCTGCTGAGGTCGACCAACACATCCGCATTACTCGTGGGAACCATATGGAAAACCAAAAACAAAATAATGACGAACCTGCCCATCTGATGGAGGTTGAGGGGACACCATCCTCATCTTCATTGGATGCAGAGAATAGGCTTCTGGAGGGCGACTCTTCTGGAACGGGAACTGAGGCACATCAAACCTTGGTTACTGTGGAGGAAGAGCGCATCCTACAGGAGCTGATGGAGTCGACAGAGGAAGGGGAGGAATCTGGGGGCAGCCGTGAGCAGCCACCGGTTCCAAACCCTCAGGATCTGCCGGACACAAAAGTGAAGATGTCTGGAGCGCAGCGCAGGAAGCTGGCGATCCAGGCGGCTATGGCTCGTGGGGACCCGATCATTCCTAGGAAGCCTAGGTCAAATCGGAGGCCCACGAAAAAACCTCAAGCACTGGTGGCCGTAAATCCATCATGTCTTAAGAGACCAGACAAAACCATCTCCACAACGGGAAGTGGGAAAGTCTGCGAGGCCGCTGGAAAGAGGGGGAGATCCGAGACCAGCACACCTTCGCCGCTCCTTAAGAGGAGCAAACAGAGTGTCTCTGCGGGACCTTCTGTAACTAAACCCGTCAGTACACCAACTGGAGGCAGTTACAGTAAGGCCCTGACCTCCTTTAAGATGGCAGTGACTACGGGCAACTATCCCGAAGACAAGCTATCTTTGGAGCAGGTGAAGCAAATCCAGCTTCTTATTACAAGAGAGATCTGGAGATGTGAGCCAGGAACTGGGCCTCAATTCGCAGGCAGCTACCCTCAATCGGGGGTGCTGATCCTAACCTGCGAAAATGAGGAATCCAGAGAATGGCTCAAGCGGAAGGTGCCTACGCTGAAGCCTTGGGAGGGGGCCGCCCTTAGCGTCGATGACGCTAATAAGGTGGTCAAAACTCACAGGGCTGTGGTATGGGTGCCAACCGAGTTCCTGGACGCCAAGGAGCCGGCTAGGATCCTACAGCTCCTGGAAACCCAGAACAAGGGCATTAAAACAGGAGACTGGAGGATTATTTCCACCAATTCCGACAAACAAGGAATTACCCTTGTTCTTGGAATTGACGACCTCAACCTGAAGGAGTTGGCCAAGAGAGGCTTCAAAGCCTACCTAGGCCTGTCCCAACTTACCTTCAGGGTGGTAAGTAAAAAGAGCGCCGAAGATGCTGCAGGTCCTTCAAGTAAACCTGCAGCATAAAAAGGCTGCGACTGCTGCCTTAGTGAGGTACCTGTCCCGAGGCGAAGCTGACATAGTCCTGATACAAGAGCCCTGGATTCACGGGGGACGAGTCTCAGGACTGGGAGAAGCCAAGGGTAAGGTAATATACGATCTGACGGCAGGGAATGTGAGATCCTGCATTTTCGTTAAGAACGAGCTACACGCACTAAAACTGCTTGATTTCTGTTCTAGGGACCAGGCAGCAATTAGGCTGAAAATACGTATGGGAGGAATCTGGACGGAAATCATAATAGCCTCAGTGTATCTGCCATACGATTCTATCGGGCCACCTCCGTCAGCAGAACTGGAGAGGCTAGAGGAGTACTGCAGGCTTTCAAACCTACAGCTCATCTTTGGCATTGATGCCAATGCTCACAGCACAGCTTGGAGGAGCAGTGACACAAACAGAAGGGGTGAGTTCTTATTAGATTACATAATTTCTAAGAATTTAGTTATAATGAATCGCGGGAACGAAGCAACTTTTGTTACCAAAACTCGTAAGGAGATCATTGACATAACCCTGGCGTCTTCTAGAATAAGCTCTCAGGTAACTCGGTGGCGTGTATCTGAGGAACCGTCCTTGTCGGACCATAGGTATATCTGTATGGAAATTTCAGATACTGAACACCCGACAGAAGCCTATCGAAACCCGAGAGGTACGAACTGGGAGAAATTCAGAGAGGACTTAACAATAAACCTAGGAAACGTCAAGAAGATTATCAAAAACGGCACTGATGTAGAGGTAGCCTCCTGTCAGTTGCAGGAGGCAATAATATCCTCATATCAGGACAACTGTCCTTTGGTAAGGCGCAACAGCAGCAAAGACGTTAGCTGGTGGAACGAAGAACTTAAAACGCTAAGAAAAGAAACACGCAAACTTTTCAATAAGGCGAAGAAAACTGGGGAGTGGGGGCAGTATTCCATCACTCTGACCAATTATAATAAACAGATCCGTAGGGCGAAAAGGGAGTCGTGGAGGCGTTTCTGTGGAGAGGTGGAAACAACCTCTGAAGCAGCACGCCTCCATCGAATCCTAGCCAAGGCACCTGTTAATCCTATGGGGAATATAATGAAACCTGACGGGAGATATACTGAAACTGGCAGGGAAACTCTGGAGATTCTACTTCGGGCTCATCTGCCAGATTCGGTTGAAATTGAAAACGATAATCTACCAGACCCACTAAACCCTCACATGAGGGCTGCTGTTGGGGACTGGCGGGTATCGAAGAAGATTGTTGACCACAGTAAACTGCTGTGGGTCATAGAAACTCTTGAATCCTACAAGGCGCCGGGACCGGACGGAATTATCCCTGCAATGCTACAGCAGGGTAAGGACCAGCTGGCTCCGTTTATTTGTGGGATATTGAGAGCAAGCCTGGCAACGGGGTACATTCCGGTTGCATGGAAGAGAGCGAGGATCGTCTTCATCCCAAAGCCTGGAAGAGATTACTCTCAGGCTAAGGCGTTCAGGCCGATAACACTATCATCATTCATGTTGAAGGTGATGGAGAAGTTAATTGAAATGCATATCAGGGAAAACTTTCTCATTGAAAGGCCACTACATAAAAACCAGCATGCATATCAATCGGGAAAATCCTGTGAAACGGCACTTCATCAACTGGTGGGGAAACTTGAGGCCGCAATAAGCAACAAGAGCATAGCTCTTGCGGCTTTCCTGGATATTGAAGGGGCATTCGACCACACACCCTTCATATCCATGGTAGCAGCGGTTGTTGAGCGTGGCGTGGAAGACACCACATGTCGGTGGATAAAAAACATGCTACACAACAGAACAGCGGAATCCACATTGCTTGGTGAAACCATGGAGGTGACGATTTCTAGGGGTTGCCCACAGGGAGGAGTTCTTTCTCCCCTGCTGTGGGATCTGGTTATTGACGAACTCCTGAAAAAACTAAACAATGTAGGAATTTACTCACAGGGGTATGCAGATGATGTTGTCATTCTAGTAGAGGGGCAGCATCCTGAAATTATTTCAGACTTGATGCAGAGAGCCCTGAAGATAGTAGAGGGCTGGTGCAGAAAGGCAGACCTCAGGGTCAATCCTAGTAAAACTGCACTTGTGGCCTTCACGAAAAAGAAGAAACTGGACAAACTAAAAGTTCCCAGACTTTTTGACACACAGCTAAGTATGACACAGGAGGTTAAGTATCTGGGAGTAACCCTAGATGCTAGGCTAACCTGGAATACTCAACTGCGAAAAACTGTCAGCAAAGGCAAAATGGCACTAATGGCTTCTCGGAGAGCGATTGGTAACACATGGGGACTGAAACCACGCATGGTACATTGGCTGTATACTGCTGTGGTGAGACCAATGATTGTATATGGATCGCTTGTCTGGTGGCCTAAGACTGAACAGAGATCAGCTATAATGGAGCTTTCAAAACTCCATAGATTAGCTTGTCTCTGCATCACAGGTGCTATGCGCAGCACTCCTACCGCTGCTATGGAAACCATACTCAATATTCCACCTCTTGAAATCTTCATCAGGGCGGAAGCGAGGATGGGGGCATACAGACTGGAGTGTACCGGCAACTGGTATGCTCGGGGTGACTCCCTGGGACATACAAAAATAATCAGCCAAGTTTCAAGCCCACTAATGGATATGGGAAGGGACAAAATGCTGCCTAGAAATAACTATTACAGACCCTTCAACACTCAGCTCTACTGGGATGAAAGGGTCTTGACTAACTGTCAGGAAGGCACGTTAGTATGGTACACTGACGGTTCTAAGACTGATGAGGGCACGGGAGCCGGAATATATGGAGATAGACCCAGAACCAGGATGTGTGCTTCCTTGGGGAGGTATGCTTCAGTATTCCAGGCAGAGGTGCATGCTATTGAGGCATGCCTGAGAGAGAATATAGTAAGAGGATACAGAGGTAAACAAATCCTCATATGCTCAGATAGTCAGGCGGCCATTCAATCTCTAACATGCAATAAAATCAGATCAAAATTGGTCTGGGATTGCCTTCAAAGCCTGCTAACCCTGGCTAACCACAACAAGGTAACTCTTCAATGGGTGCCAGGGCATAAGGGAATTGAAGGCAATGAAGCAGCTGACGCTCTTGCCCGGCAGGGGTCTGCGACGTTGTTTATGGGGCCGGAACCTGTGTTCGGTATCCCCAAAACCTCAATACGCGGCTGGCTGGCAAGGTGGACGCAAGAAAGACATCAGGCATACTGGAACAATGTCCCAGGACAAAGACACAGTAAACTGATGGTTGGAACACTGTCCAAAACAGTGACTAACGACATTCTGAGCCTAAACAGAAGTCAGATCAAACAAGTGACGGGACTAATAACCGGTCACTGCCCCTTGAGGAAACATATGCATCAAATGGGCATCTATACAGACGAACCCATATGCAGACTATGCAATGAGGAGGAGGAAACTGCCACCCATGTAATACTGGAGTGCGAAGCACTAGCGCGTTGGAGATACAACCTTCTGGGAGCAGTAAACTCTCAAGAGGCATTTTCAAAGAATGATCTGGTGAAGAGGCTGCTAAACCTCATCAAGGTAGCGAACCTGTTCACCTGAGTCAACAGCATGATCAGGAATACAATAGGCCCAAAGGCTGCAGTGTTTTGGGCTTCAAACCCTGACTGATCATTCTGCCATTAATCAATCAATCAATCAATCTGTTCCAATTAAAAGTCAGTAGATAGTGAATCAAAAGTTAAGATAGGGACATGTAAGCCGTTTTGATCGATAATGAATAGTTTCGACACAAAAAATTCCTGAAATTGAAAAATCTCGATTTTGAACACCCTATTTCTCTGTAATAATTTCTGCTAGACCCCAAGTGTGGTACATTGATGAAATCAGCTCTTCGAGAAGAATCTAAAAACGCAATGAAATACAGGGTGTTCCATTTGAAATAACAAAGATGATGCTACTTTTTGGTAAAAGTGGCAACGCTGCATCGCTGAAAATATTTTGAATCGTTAGATCACAAACGCTTATTAGAGTAACCAAATTTTCAGGATAATCCAATGTACCGTTTTCCGTATACGTCTAAGGTACCATCGACCGTGGGCCACCCTGTATATGGAAATCCTTCTAGACCGACCTCCTCTCTACATTTTTCTGGAGAGGAAGGCTAGATGATAAGATACAGCATTACACAAATTTCAATTCTTGTCATCTCTTGGAGCGCGCCAGAGGAAATTCCTATGATTAAAGTTAATGGTTTCCTATATGCTGACGATATGAGAATATTCAACATCATTTCAGATACAAACGATTGTCAATTATTACAAGATAACCTAGATAGAATTAACGAATGATGTATTTTCAATAAGTTGTTTCTCAATCCCGGAAAGAGCTGTGTGATGTCCTTCACCTTGAAATCTTGTGCCAAGTTCAGCTATACCATTGATAATACTGACTTGCAGAGAGCAGAGAGATTCAAGGATCTGGGAGTGATATCTGATCCAAAACTCTCATTTGTAACTCACATCGAAAAAATATCGTCAGCTGCCAGCAAATCCTATGGTTGTATAGTTAGATACTCCAGAGATTTCAAGGATACAGTAACTCTTCAAAGTATGTATAATGCATTTGTCCGATCGAAGCTGGAATATGCTCCGGTAATTTGGCGTCCTCATGATAAAACTCACATTGACAGCCTTGAATCGATTCAGCGGCGTTTTCTGAAACTACTTTCTCTCAAATTAGATAGAGAATATCCAGAAATTGGCATTCCACATATAAATTTACTTGAGAGACGCTCATTCATCAGTATAAAAACTCGAAGAGAGTAACATTGGAATGTGAACCTTTTCAAAAAAATCAATCAAAGTGATTTCCATTATCCTCACTCTATGCTGTTTCCACAGACTTTTTACTATCCCGCTCAACACCCAACATTTTGACTCTGAATTGAATATAATTCAGCAGATTGCCTCGAACAATGGTTTTCCCATTCTTTTGATCAATAAACTTCATTTCATAAATCTGAACAAATTTTCGAACCATTTCCTTGCTTCAACTTATTTTGGCCCAGTTTCACTTAAAATTAGAGATATTCTCAGTAAGAAACTCTATAATAACAATTCCACCAGTTCACTTTTCCTTTCAAAAACTTCAAATAATCTCAGACCTTCACTAGTCAATACCAAGGACTATATATATATACCGAATCTTGACAAATCTGGGGTCTACTTATTGACATGCTGTGAACCTGATTGTGACTTGTGAGGTGTTTTATAATGGTCAGACCGGTCGCAAATTCAGTACCAGAATCACGGAACATGTTCGTACCAATGATACCAATTTTGAAAGAGATTTCATCAACACCAATTATATGTTCCCCAATCACATAGTTAATGAAAAACATTCTCTCGATACAAATTCAAACCTAAAATTTTTACACTCCTGTCGAAAAAGCGAAAAACTCAACCTAGTTGGAAGTTTAGGAATTCTTTAATCTTTGAATAATCGCGATATGACTTGTATTAACGAACAGGCCCACTTTGACGGTTTCAAACTCTTCAATTCCCTTACCTTCATCAACACATAATATTTATGAATTCATTCCCCTGAATTCAATATATAAAGTTTCAGGTATTTTCAAATTTCTTTCTTTCTTTGCAGTTATTAATATTCAAGTTCATATTGTGCCCACCTCTAATCTCAATATTCTCCCCCATCTCTATTCTTTGTCAATTTGTGATGCATTGTCACTATTTGATGTTCTATGTCACCCTTGTCACTTCATGTCAAAGCTATTCCTTTCACATGGTTTTGGATGCAATTTGATATTAGACATTTCATTTCTTGACCAGTTTTGGCATGTTCTAGTGATTTTCCTCACTTCGATTCCAGTTTGACTGCTGATTCATCTGATAGTACCTCATCACAGGTGATCCGCATTTTGCGGTCCCCTGTTTTATTGATATTGTAACAAATTTTCAATTTTTGTTTTCAAATATGTGAACACAACTTTTTTCCTCCATAACAGGTGAGTTTTTTATAACTGTCCTTGTTGAATACTTTTGTCAGACATTATGCTTTGTTTTTCTCTTTAGTGCTCCTATGTAACTTATTGCTGATGATGAAGCTTTGAAGCTTCGAAACATGTCTCTTCAATGAATTGCTCACATTAGAGTTTAGTTTTGGTAAAGTAAACTGTATGAATTTTCGACCTGTTCAAAAAATATATCAGACTACAGCATCAGGAATGACCTACTCTCTCAAATAGGCCTAGGCCACTGTATACCCACCCACTTTCGATCTAACCTCTATATGAATATAGAATTCGTATATTATTCTGCTACTTTGAGGAATTGATAAGATAATTATCATTATTATACCTGGTGGTCTTAAATTTGTTTTCGAGGGCTACTAGTTGCTCGTAGGTGAAGGCTGTTCGTGCTCGTCTGGGTTTGCCGGCGTTCTGGGATTTCGAATCGCCTTTCTTTTTCTGCGAGGGGTCTTTGAGGTCTTCGCTGATATCACTGTGCATGTCGTCATCGTCTTCAGACTGGTGGTCTTTGCCTGAAAAAAAACATACAGTGAGCAAAGTGTGAATGTTCTTAGCGGAATGAGGAAGAGTGGGCCATGGTTCATACATCCACAGTACCAAACAATACAATAGTACTATATTTATCCACCTTAAATAGATCACTTTCTGAGTTAGACCGCTCTTTAGTGATATATAAGGTATATGTCACGACGAGCTTATACACTATCTTTATACTGAGAATCAGTCGAGAGAAATCCATGGAAATGTGCATGCTCATATTTCAGGATACGCTTCCTTCATTTGAAATATTCTTTACAATGCATTGTTGCCGCTTCTACTAGAAAGTAGTAGCAATATTGATATTCCAAAAAGAAAACACCCTGTATTTCATCGCATTTTTATATCCTTCCTGAAGAGGTGATTTCATTGATACATCACACTTGGAGTCTATCAAGAATGATTACAGAGATATATGGTGTTCAAAATCGAGATATTTCAACTTTAGGATTTTTTGTGTCGAAACTATTCATTATCGGCCGAAGCGGCTCACAATCGGAACAGATACAGTGTGGTTCGAGATTCAAAATCCTGATCACCCAAGAGAGAACCGTCTGTGCAATAAGCTCCTTGGCAAAAACTTCACATCTTTTCGTTTCCACTGTTCTTTGCTCGGAATTGGTGAGAGAGAACCTCTTATTCCACCGCAGTCTGTCTTGTGCGTGTCTCAGAGTGGAGATTGGGCCCTCATGTTCCACCCTTGTAGCAATAGCTGCATCTTGTATCAGTGCTCCTTGAAGCATCTTGAATCCAGCATCCTATAAGGTAGTCTGTCATAGCTTTCTTCTCAATCCAGATTGATAGTGGCCGTAACTTTACTTCTGATGCTACGCTTGGTGTCTTGTTCATTGCTCCCGTTATTGCTTGATAGACCACTTGTTTTCTCAATCACATTCAAACGCTGTAGAATAGTAGGTGACCTTTCACTTTCCTATAGATACTTCCAGGGGATATGTTCTTTGAATATCTCAGGTAGGTTCATCATACTGTTGTTCCGTTGAAAAATATATAAGTTCGAATCGTATCTCCAAAACGATAACCTGAAAATTAATTGAGTACGTCACTGAGTATATTATGCGCAGAATTCTCAGCTAGACGTAGTTCTTTATTCACAACCGAGAAACCTGGCAGCACCCATCAAAATGGGATTCGATATTATAGTAATCATCAGTAGAATATTGCACGAATCTGTTGACATGCTAACCATACAACTGCCGTTATATACTACAACGATATCTAGTACAAATGATATTCTTTTGTAAATTCGGAAAATTCAAACATCACAAGTTCATAAGGTCCGATAAATTTCTTTTTTATTGTGACATGTAATTTGACACTTTTCAACACTGACGGAAGTTTTAGAACGTCTTACTTTACGTAAACATCAGTTACGTGGAGTAAAATATCACATAACTGGTGATGAAATGTTGACTTCAACATCCCAAACTGTATTGTTTGGAAGGTAAAAGTAATGTAGTAACGTAACACACAAAAATAAGATTCAGATCTCTGGTAGATTAGATTTTAGTTTCGATTTGGAATGGGGCCTTCGGGCTATCTGCCTCCACACTGCGACCTTTTCAGATCTATTATGTCTGCCCTCAAAATCGATTAGAGTTCTTCGGCTAGCCCCGCCTTCTCTATGAGACTCCATAGGCTAGCTTTCAGATCTCCTGTGTATCTCTGGGCTCCTGGTTTCTCCTCACCCAGCGTAAGGAACCTTAGTCTTGACAAGCTCTCACAGTGGCAAAGTATGTGTACTGCTGTTTCTTCCTCTTCTTGACAGAACCTGCACAGCAGTTCTTCAGTCAGACCTATCGTACTCATGTGTTTGTTGAGCCTACAATACCCTGTGAGAAGTCCCACTAGTATTCTAGTTGAACTTCGTTTCTGGCTTAGTAGATATTCTGTGAATGTTGGCGATGGTTTTTTAATAAACTCTTTTGCCTGTCTCATTCCTGGCGAGTTGTTTCACCATTCTTGAGATTTGGTTTGCATCCATGATTTGATACTAGTCTTTTGTATAGCTTTCGCAATACCACAGAAGGTTTCTGGGCTATTAAGAGCTTTGTTTGCTCCTGCTCGGGCAAGTGAGTCTGCATCTCCATTGCCCTCGTACCCTGTATGTGCTGATACCTATGCTAGAGTCAATCTGTTCTGACTGCCCATCAGTGCATTTAGGGTTTCTAAGCAGTCCCATACTAGTTTTGAGTTAACTTGCATAGAGTTGACTGCTTTGATTACCGCCTGCCTATCTGAATAGATTGCAATGGTTTTGCCTTTAAACTCTTGCCTTATCAATTCTTTCACGCAATGATGTATTGCAATAATCTCTGCCTGAAACACCGTCGCGTATTTGCAAAAGCTCAGTGAGATTCTTGTCTTTGGCTTGGCCCCATAAATACCAGCTCCTGATCCTTCCTCAGTGGCTCTCTGGTAAGCGTCTTGCAGTCTTATTTGGGGAACTTCTACCTGGTTATTGAGAACTCTACTGGAATTATACTATCAATCTTCTGGAAGTATACAATCAATCAACGGATTCTCAATAAATGGGCCATCTCTTGCTATTGAGTAAAAGTTATATTTGAACTGAGGTGATCATTGAGGTATAGGCTACAATACTATGATACATAATATTTGATGTCAGTAGGAGAAAACTCAATGACGTGAAACACATTGAACAGATGAACACATGAACAGCGCCTGTTGATTTGTTGTATTGGAGTTAGTATACATCGAACTCTCTACCACTCTCATTTACACCAATCTTACTCACTCCACCACCCACTGAGCTATAGTCATAGTGTTTTATTCCTTCGGCAAGAATAAGGTACTTTGAACACCTTAATTTTTACTACAAACTGGGTATTTACCCTCCACATCAAGGTTGAAGAAATATCAGCATTCCATTTGATGGAATTGTATATCCACAACTTCCTTCCTTTCAAAAATATAGGAAACAAATTGTACGTAACTCGTCTCGTCCCGCAAAATCACATCGTTGCACAAAATTTGGCGTTTCCTTACTGGTTGTTTTGATAGAACGGTCGTTCTTTTTGATGCCATGCCATATCTATTATTTCTATAAACCGTGACGAAACTGTTACGTACATATCTTTTGTTTTGATAGAATGGGTTAGAACTGATGCCATGCAATAACAGTTTTTTTAATAAACCGTGATGGCAACTGTCGGAATAGCAGCTAAATGGCAAAGGTAAAGCGAGCGTCGCTTCCATAATTAATACATCTGCTTAGAAGTAGTTGCAAAACCAAAGGATTAATTACAAAGTTCACGGCTTGCTAACGAGCCCGGAGGCAATTCGGCTGAGGCTGTTAATTACATGTCTCGCTCCGGTTGTTCCGGAGATCGCATTGTTTCCGTCTTGAGACGCTGCCGCAGCCATAGTTACGGTCTCTTCGCGATCCGGTTACGAATACTCCGTGCCTGGAGTATTTATGTTACTTACTTGGGCTGTTACGGATTCCGTAATGGCGTGAAGTTGATTCTACCAGAAATTAATTGTTCGAGGAAGGAAATTATTCTTGCCGAATAAGAGAGTATTGAGGTTCCGTTAGATTTGCATTCAGTGTGATCTAGAAGCAAACATGAAGATGATTCTAAGAATCTTAATGCATCAGGGTGGCCTTCTGAAGAATGCGAAAAATTATATAGTTGGTTGTTCCCACTGAACCAATTTTGAGTAACTTCGAATTCAATCTAAATTCGATAAAAATGAGGAAACTAATTTATAATACCTACCTTTTACTATCTACTACTAGAGAGTGATGGAAATTAATTACAAAGGTAACAAGCTACTGAGAAAAAATCTATCTAAACTTACAGGGTGTAATCTAATGGATGGCTGAAAATATAGAATATGCTTTCTCAGCTCATTTTGAAAAGAAAAATTCATATATTATCAAATGCCCTAAACTCTAAACTTTCGAGCTACAGGTTGTCAAAATTTCAAGAGAAGAATCGTTATCTTATCATATCTTCAATATACTATTACTGCTATTAATTATTCCAACTGCCCGGTGTTTCAATAACTAATTTTTTATTGTGGTATCAAATAGTCAGGTGTATCTCTGAATATTTCTGAGTTTTGAGGTTGATATTCGCACAGTGCTATAGAGTATTATTTTTGTCTCATCTGATGAAGCTGACTGAAGAAAAAACTGACCAAGCGGTATAGGTATAGAGTATGATAAATTTTTTTTCGAATCAAAGTTTGACGTTAGTAAATCCTCCAAATATTTTTTTCTTAAAATCATCTTCCGCGATCGTTCTCAATATATATTTTTCTTATTTAATACACTAGTGCGGGGAAAACATTCACATAATATTCTCGCAAAATATGAGTGGTGGGTGACACAATATAAAAATGTTTGGTCTTTTTGTTGCAGTATTTAGTAATTTTGTACAAAATCATTCATCAAATTGCACTAAGTTTTTATTGTGAAAATGAAGAAATATTGAAAAATAATAATTGATTTCAATTCAAAATATACTTTATTGTTCTCATTCGTTGACAAATAGTGGTGCCCGCGCAAGAGTCTCGTTTTCGAGAGTCTCGCATGGTCTCGTCTCGTTTTCGAGACGAGACTCGGACAAGACGAGATGAGACTTTCATTGCATGGTCTCGTCTCGAGTCTCGTGCAAGACTTCTCGTGTGAGAGTCTCGCGGGTAAATATTCCTCCGTGCCGACTGCAGACTTGAGAATTTCATTCATAATACAACATATTTAGGAAGAATTCAGACTATTTAGCACAGATAGACAGAACATTTCATTCATAAATACTTCAAAAACACAATCCATGATTGTTGTAAAACGACGTAATGCGTGAAACGAAAACGCACTATTCTCTCTCTTACGGCGGAATAATGTTGGATTAAAGTTTTTGTTTTGTTTATATGTTTAGAATATACGCGTTCGTCTTCATTTTATTTTTATAATTTCCGAATATATAAT